CAGTGTCTTGGCTGCCCGTGGCTTCCTCAGTGTTGGATCAGTTGGATCGAGTGCTTGCTTTCTTCGGCAACATCTCGAGTCTTGCTAAACGGGAAACTGGGTGACTGTTTTGCAAATAAGAGAGGGTCCCATTTCTTTTCATTCTGGTGGTCGATGTTTTGCAACGACTTTGCTGCTCCGCCTTTGAATGTGGCAGTTTGCTTCACCCCTTGGTTCGTACATGATGTTCCCTATTCTACAATACGCTGATGACACCTTAATCCTCTTTCACGGCACCGTTCAACAAGCTACAATCATCAAGCAGATCCTGTCAGACTTCTCTTCCTTCTCTGGGTTACAGATCAACTACCACAAAAGCACTCTCATCCCAATATGCATAGATAACTCTACCACTGATGAGATCATTGGTGTGTTTGGCTGCTCAGCATCAAGTTTCCCCTGCACGTACTTAGGCTTGCCCCTCTCTTTGCACAAGATTTGACATGACTTGCTACTCCCATTCATTCACAAAGTGGACAAAAGGTTATCGGGATGGCTGGCTACTCTTTTGTCTTGGGGCGGCAGGCTAACGCTGATCAACTCTGTCCTGGCTAGCATCCCAAGTTACTTCATGACATGTTTCCGCTGGCCTAAAGAATCCATCCACAAGCTTGAGAGTTTGTTGAGATCTTTCCTATGGCAAGGCGCGGGTACAGCAAAGGGAGGCCAATGCTTAGTTGCCTGGCATTTCGTCACTATGCCACGATCTGCTGGTGGCCTGGGTTTTAGGGACCTATCTTCTCACAACTAGGCCCTGCTGACAAGCTTTACCGCCAAGGTTCTTCAATACTCAAGCGTGCCCTGCTATTAATGGTTTGCCCAACAATACTGTCGCGGCTCTGTGCCCAGGAGGAACTGTGCTCGAGACATTGCGATCTGGAGTGGCTTCAAACAATCCATCCCCATGGTCCTAGCCTCTTCAAGATGCTCCTTAGGATCTGGGAAGTTTATTTCTTTCTGGCACGACTGCTGGCTTCCGGCAGGACGACTCAGCTCTACTCTTCCTACTCCCTACACTTCTGCACGAGATCAGGACTGCTCCGTGGCCTCTCAACACCCCCAAGAATCATGGCAACTACAGCTTCATCCAAACCTGTCAGTAACAGCCATGTATGAACTTCAACTACTTCTCTCATTTCTAGCTCCTATCACGCCAACATCAGAAACTTCAGACTCCAGGGTTTCTGTGATCTACAACAAGACCATCACTACAGCCCATGTCTACAAGCTACTCAATTTCCGCGGCGTGTCTTGTGCTTATGGTTCTTGGATTTGGGACATGATCATCCCCCTCAAGCATCGTGTCTTCCTATGGCTGCTGTTATGGGACCGGTTAAACACTCGAGATAATATGATGAAGAAAGGTTGGACTTCTGTTACAGCACACCCAGAATGCGATATCTGTCCTGCTCCTGAGTCTGCTTCCCACCTGATGCTACGTTGTGCTCCAGCTTCTGTAATCTGGGACGTTTTCGGCCTCACAGACCTTGCCTCCAACTCTTTGGATCTCATCAGCTTTGTCGAAAGAGCGGAACAACTTTGGCCGGCCCCGGGTAAATTCCACTTCCTCTTTGCTGCAGCCGCTGTCACAGCATGGCACGCCCGGAATGACAGGATTTTTAACTCTAAGCGATGGCCCTCGCCTTATATTAACCAATACGCGAAGCAATTGCTGCATCGTTGGCGTAATAGGAGCCATGAACAAGATGACAATGATACTATAGATGCCTGGATCAATCTCTTAGTCTAAGTCTTTTTCTCAGCTTCGGCTCTTTTGTATATCTCTCTTCTTAAACACCCAACCCCCTCTTCTTCTCAGGCTACAACCTGGCGGCTTACAGCCAGGGCACCATTGGTGCTAAATGTAAGTTTCATGTAATCGGCCCCTAGGGTCTCCAGGCTCCTAGCCTGTTTTGAAATATATAAGGTAGACCATATCTACCTTTCATTTCAAAAAAAATGATTTAAATTAGGATTAGGAGAAAAGGAGAAAGAAGCATCGAGTACGCAGTCGCGAACAATCGAAGCCTCGACGGCTGCTTGAAATCACTGCGTCAATGCGAGATGAAATAGGAAGGGATCAACCACTCCTATTTTTAGGTGAAAAAAGGAAAGAAACGATTGCTGCGGCTGGGATCCGGCTTCCCTGCTCCCTCCTTATGCTCCCATCCGTGCTCCCACTTCATCCTACGGCTGTGTTTTCTCCTTTTTCCTTCCTAATCTAATCATCCCCCCTGATTTTAACAGGGTGGGCACAGGCCTTATTTTGTTCCAATCAAATCAAGCCATGTACGGGGGAGCACGGATGAGCGCACGCGTGGGGCTCAGGCAAGTCTCGTTTGTGCCGCTGTGCCTCGCTGTTAAAAAAAGGAAATACTCCTTGGGAAACAAATCATGTTAAAAAACTGCAAGTATTACGTGCATATCTCTATCATATTAAAAAACCATGTTCTGAAGCAATTGATATAGAGTAGTATACATACATCATGGAGATGACAAAATAAGTATTTTGAAATTTTCAAAGATGTTGGTTGGAGAGAGGTTGCTCAAGGAATTGAGGGTGGAGTTGGCATGTGTGTGTGGGTTCCCAATACTGGTTTTTTTAACTCTTTTTATTTGCACACTGGCGGGATCGAGTGAGTATGTTTTTCACCTTCAGTGGTGTTACGAAGCGAAGCAGAAACGAACATGACATATACACTATTTAATAGTAAGGATAATAGATATTTATTAATAGAGGCATCCACCATATTTTAGATTTTGTTAATATTTAATTTGATTTGAGTATGAATAGAAAAAATCAAGGAAAGTTTTTATTATATAGTTAATGTTTTGGTAAGATTAAATTTTATTTAGGTATGAGTAGTGCATGGCAAGGAAAGATTGGATTCAGTTGAGATTTTGTTAAGATTTGATTTAATTGAGTTAATGCATGACACTCTTTTGGGAAAGTGCCGATTTGATTGGATTTTGTTTGGGGGAAGTGTCGATTCTGATAGTATGCCAAGCAAAAAATAATAGCTTGGCCATAGAAAAATGAAACAGAAAAAAGGAAACCAAAAAACTAAACATAAGAAAAAAAAAGAATGTGCGCACGCGTCAAATGGGCCGGCCCAACTTTGATTGTAGTTGATATTTTGGTAACATTTGATTTGATTGGGTATGAGTGGTGGAATGCAAGGATAGTTTGGATTTAGATTTTGTTAAGATTTGATTTTATCGAGTTAATGCATGACTTTGTTTTGGGAAAGTGCCGATTTGGTTTGATTTTTTCTGGAGTGTTGACTTTGATAGTATGCCGACCACAAAGTAATCGGTTTGTCAAAGAAAAAAGAAACGGAAATGGTGAAACCAAAAATGAAACATAAAAAATCGTGCAAACGCGTCAAGTGGGCCGTGGCAACTTGGTGTGGGCTTCAGTGAAAGGTCACCTGTATGACACTCACAGGTGTCATGTCGGGTTTGCCAAGAGATTGTTCGGAGGTGAGGCGACACTACCAACTCCCCTTTATGAGTAGAGATGGGCCGACCCAACCTTGATTATAGTTGATGTTTTGGTAAGATTTGATTTGATTGGGTATGAGTAGTGGAATGCAAGGAAAGTTTGGATTTAGTTGAGATTTTGTTAAGATTTGATTTTTGATTGATTTAATGGATGACCCTGTTTTGAAAAAGTATCGATTTGGTTTGATTTTTTTGGGAAAGTGTCGATTTTGATATTATGCTGAGCAAAAATAATAGATTGATCATGCAAAAAATGAAACAGAAAAACAGGAAACCAAAATCAAAATATAGAAAGAAAGGAAATATAAAAATACGCGTCAAATGTGCCGAGCCAACTGGAGCTTCGGTGAAAGGTCACATTTATGATGCTCACGGGTGTCATATCGGGTTTGCCAAGGGGTTGCTGGGAGGTGAGGCGACTCTACCAACTCTTCCTTTTGGAGTAGAGAAAATGGGCCGGGCAAACTTGGCTGGAGCTACATCGAACGGTCGCCTGTATGACGCCAACGAGGGCCATATTAGGTTTGCCGAGGGGTTGGTGGGAGGTGAGGCAACGCTACCAACTCCCACTTTAGGAGTAGATATTAATGCATACTGTTGTTTTGGGAAAATGCCTACTTGGTTTGTTTTTTTAGGAAAGTGACTATTCTAATAGTATACCGAGCACAGAATAATAGATTGGTCACAGAATAAAAAGAAACAAAAAGGAAACTTAGAAAAAAACAACAAATAAAAACACGTCAAATGGGCTGGGCCAACTTGGCTGGAGCTTCAATGAAAGGTCACCTGTTTGACGCTCGTGGCGTCATATCGGGTTTTTTGAGGGGTTGGTGGGAGGTGAGGTGATGCTACCAACTCCCCTTTAAGAGGAAAGATTGCAATCGCGATACGGACACTCGATGCGCCTAGATTTGTTCCAATATTTGAAACATTGACCAATTAATATTGGCGGTAATATAATATTATTACCGCCATTTTAGTCCCGCAATAAAATTATAATATGTAAACAAAAAAGGTCTTAAAATGAGACGTACAAATGGTGCATTAAGCCCATACTATTCCCGCAAATCGTGATCCTATTAAAGCGCCAACGGTCCCATAATCACTCATTGTTCCCTCAAATTGCAAGCGTGGGATGGTGATTGGACGGCATCCGATGAGTTTGGATTTGTCCCGATATTTGGAACATTCGCCAATTCACATTGGCGGTGAAATAATAGTATTACTGCATTTTTGGTCTAGCAAGAATTTGGTAACACGTAAATAAAAAAGTGTTATGAATTTTATTTTATTTAGAAGTGTTCAAATTGGTCCCTCAAACGTGGCACAATACGAGTAACGGCTCAATAAAGTCGCTCCAGCTGTTGACAATGAATATATAGGGGGCCCGTCCTTTCGTTCCCAAAACAAAACCCCTGCTCGCGGAGGACTCTCCATGGCTTCTCCCCCTCCCACGCATGGCCAGGGTCCAATCCCCGGCGACACACAAGCCTCTGCTGGAGGCTTCCACACCTCCCCGTCTCTCGCCGACCAGGCCACAAAGTTCTCAAAGGTATATCTCATTATCTCGAGTTAGGGCTTTTGGTAGATCTGTATTGTCCGACTCTGGTCTAAAAACTGCAAACGTGTATGGATACATGGATTTGATGCGCACTTCTTTGCTGCATGCTTTTGCATCTGTTAATGGGGGCATGATTGGGGGTAGGGGGGTTGTTAACGTTTTGTTACTGTTCCAGATTGCAACTTCGCCTAACCATTGTTGTTTTCTTTTTGATGCAGATGGTCGACCTGAAATTGTTTCTTCACCTGATCTAATCTTGCTAATCGGTTTTTTTACCCGATCTAAAAATTAAAAATGTTTTGCAATACTTGCCTCCGATGTTCACCTCAGCATGTTTTTTATTTTTTGAATCGACCTCAGCATGTTCTTGAGAAAACAATTGGCACCTCTTTCCTGATTGAAGCTCTACTTAACTAATTTTTATTTCTAGCTGATCCGAGCTGCGTCCTGGTGTTGTGAAAAATATAAACCATTTTTATTTTCTTTTTGATGAAGATGGTCGATCTGAAATTGTTTTTCTTCACTTGATCTAATCTTGCTAATGGAGTTTTTTTACCCGATCTAAACATTAAAAATGTTTTGCAATACTTGCTTCCGATGTTCATCTCAGCATGGCTTTTATTTTTTGAATCCACCTCAGGATGTTCTTGACAAAACAATTGGCACCTCTTTCCCGATTGAAGCTCTACTTAAGTAATTTTTATTTCTAGCTGATCCGAGCTGCATACTGGTGTTGTGAAAAATATAAATCTTCAGTAATATGGGCATACTTAGCTCTGATTTCCACTCGCTTGACCATATCCATGAATAAAATATTACTTGTTCAACATATACCTTTTTATTTAAAAGAACACTGTCTGGATTTGTCATCTAAAAGAAAGAGGACTACTGTGAGTAGCTCATTTATGTTAGGCAATTCCAATGAGAAATTAAGAACAAAATTCCTTGTTAGTTCACCATACTCATGAGTCATGAATCATGCTGCTGCTGATGGTATTAGAGGACATGATCATCATCTTTTTAGGCATGCATCTTAAGTCAGCTTTGCTTTATTTACCATAACAAATAAATGGTGTTTTTGCCATCAAAATAAAATAAATAGATGGTGCATGCTTTTGCATCTGTTACCAAGTTTAAGAAGCATATGTTCGGAGGGAGTAGTTTATTTCTGCTTAAAAGATTGTTTTGCTATTTCCTCGTTATCTCTATTTCTTTGTGATGGCCTTATGTATTAGAGTAGTTCAGCAAGCATATGCATTATAATTTTCTTATTGTACTATCTATTAATCTTATGTTCTGTATTGTAGACTTGCATCATGAAGGCTGCACAGTTTGGACCTTGGTCAGATCTTCCTACCGAACTCCTGGGCCTTGTCCTAAAGCGCCTCGATTCCCTAGCTGACCGTGTTCATCTGAGAGCAGTCTGTCACCCATGGCGCTCTAATAGTATGTTGCAGAATCTTTCCCTCCCATTCCCTTGGCTCACCCTCACCGATGGAACCTTCCTCTGCATCCCAAGCAGTGAGGTTCACCGCATGCCTCTACCAGATGGTGCTCGTTGGCACGGCTCCATTGATAACAGGCTATTCCTCATAAGCTGTGATGGTGCGTGTTCATTGCTAAACCCTTTTTCCAAGAGCACACTGGAGCTTCGTAATCTTGCAAGTGTTTGGCAGCGCGAGATAGATAACCATGCTGAATATACTCATGATCCAGTTTCCTATAAGTTAGTGGCGCCCTCGCCTCTGGAATCATCACCCAAGTCCCTTGTTGCTGCGTTGTTCATCGGCAATTGTTATTCTGTTGATCTTTGTGTCGTTCAACCACCTGCCACCACTTACTCATTCAGAGGTATACGTACTGCACTGGGGGAGCCACCAACATTAGTGGACCTTGCATTCTTGGATGGAAGGTTGTATGTGGTATCTGGATTTTTCAAGCTTTTCGTCGTTGCTTTTGGTGAGAACCTTGGTACTTATCCAAAGATGAAATGCGTAATTGCCTCTGGTGGTGATTGTGGAACGCCTCAATACCTGTCTAAGAAGGTGCTTTATGGACTCAGCCTGTATTTAGTGGAATGTGGTGGTAGGCTGCTGATGGTGCAAAGATTTACACACTCACAGGGTTTTGGGAATTCTCACACTGTTGGATTTAATGTCCTTGAGGCAGACTTGCGCACTAACCCTGGTCAGTGGAGAACGGTGAGTGATTTGGGTGGCCACGCACTCTTTCTTGGTAAGCAAAGCTCAAAGTCCCTGCCTGCTGCAGAATGCAGTGGATCCCAGGAGGACTGCATCTACTTCATCTGCGATTATCCTTGTCCAGAGTCTTATGCAGAACCTCTTCGCGACACTGGCATATACAACGTGAGAAGTGGGATGATAATGCCATTGCATTTAAGGAATCCTGCAGTACCGCAACGCCAAGCTGGTCAGTGGGGCCTGACCTGGTTTCTTCCTTCTGAAGCTATATGATCAACCCAGCAGAACTTTTTAGTCTTTTGTGGTCAACCAACATGCCTGGGTTTTGCTCATCTTTATCATAACAATATGTTATTTTGCGGACTTAATTAGTATATGATGGTGTGAACTTTTAAGTCATTTGGTGACAATAATAGGATCATGTAATCGAATGCTTAAACCTTTCATTGTGGACACTTGATGTTTTATCTGTGTGGCTATGCTTTCAACAGACTTGGGATTTAATCATAGCTCTGCACGTATATGTTTCTGCCATGTAGATTATTTCCCTACTTCCTACAGGTGGTGATTTTTTTTCCAGAAAGTGGATAGCCCTAGCCTCTCCATTATCATGACGCACACAGCTGTAATTTATTAAAGTGCAAAAGTTTTACAAACAAGCCGCAGTAGAAATAAAAATAAAAAGACAGGTGGTGAGTCATGGACTATCTGTTTAGAGAATTCAAAAGCAGAGTGGTCTAGCGTAGCATAAAGGTACATGACCATTTCATCAATTTTCAGTGAGCGTAATTTTCCCTTTTCAGCAAGGTTGTGTAGGGAATTTCTATATGCCCATTTGGTCATCTACCTCCTCCAGTCATGTGTCCAAATGTTTGCTCTATGCTACATTAAATTTATGCATTGGTGATACAATCTGTTAGTCTTTTATGATCAACCGACATGGCTGGTTCTGCTCATCTTTATCCTACTAATCGTATGTTATTGTGTGGACTTAATTAGTATATGATGGTGTGCACTTCTAAGTCATTTGGTGACCTTAATGGGATCACGTAATCGAATGCTTAAGCCTTTCGTTGTGGAAACTTGATGTTTTATCTGTGTGGCTATGCTTTCAACAGACTTGGGAGTTGGTCATAGCTCTGCACGTATATGTTTCTGCCATGTAGATAATTGCCCTACTTCCTACGGGTGGTGATTTTTTTTTTCAAAAAAGTGGATAGCCCTGGCCTCTCCATTATCATGATGCACACAGCCGTAATTTATTAATGTGCCAAAGTTTTACAAAGAAGCCTCAGTAGCAATAAAAATAAAAAGACAGGTGGTGAGTTATGGACTGCCTGTTTAGAGAATTTCAAAAGCAGAGTGGTGTAGCATAGCATAAAGGTACATGAACATTTCATCAGTTTTCAGCGAGTGTAATTGTTCCTTTTCAGCAAGGTTGTGTAGGGACTTCCTATATGTCCTTTTGGTTATCTACTTTCCCCATTTCATGTGTCCAAATGCGTGCTTTATGCTACATAAAATTAATGCACTATTAACTGATTGTGATCTTGTCGAATTTTAACCAAATATATGTCACATCAATTTTATGGCCATAAACTGTCTCACCTCAGTTTTAATAGAGCTAGGCTGAACTCCGAACAATTCTCAACTCCTGGTCACCTAACAGAATCATGGGCTGTGAAGAGGCGGTCTCACAACAGTGCCGCTGTTTGCATATCACCAGTGATGCTGCGACTGGTGTTGTGGAGCGTCGTTGCGTGCTGCGGTCGCGTCGTGCTACGAGAGTGTCCCATAAAATCACTACGGAAGCCTCTAAGTCGCCTACTGCTGCAAGGGATGAGGACAGGTGCTTGCCAAGAGGTCACCAGACGCGCGGGGAAGTGTCACTGGTAGGAGGCCGGTGCCACGATCGAGAAGAGGCAGGCTCGCAGCAGTGCTGCTGTTTACGAAGAGGTGGCCTCGCAGCAGTGCTGCTACGACCCGTGTTGTGGAACATCACCGGGTGTTGCAGTCATGTCGTTTGCACTGGTGGCCCATAGTGCTGCCATGGCATCGACTGCAATGCCAGCAAAGTTGTGTGGCCTCGGTGTCGGTGTCAAAACTGGCGGATCTCGGGTAGGGGGTCCCGAACTATGCGTCTAGGCGGATGGTAACAGGAGACAAGGGACACGATGTTTTACCCAGGTTCGGGCCCTCTTGATGGAGGTAAAACCCTACGTCCTGCTTGAATAATATTGATGATGTGTGTTACAAGAGTGGATCTACCACGAGATCAAGGAGGCTAAACCCTAGAAGCTAGCCTATGGTATGATTGTTGTTCGTCCTAAGGACTAAAGCCATCCGGTTTATATAGACACCGGAGAGGGCTAGGGTTACACAGAGTCGGTTACAATGGTAGGAGATCTACGTATCCGTATCGCCAAGCTTGCCTTCCACGCCAAGGAAAGTCCCATCCGGACACGGGACGAAGTCTTCAATCTTCTATCTTCATAGTCTTGGAGTCCGGCAGATGATGATAGTTCGGCTATCCGGACACCCCCTAGTCCGGAACTCCCTCAGTAGCCCCTGAACCAGGCTTCAATGACGACAAGTCTGGCGCGCATGTTGTCTTCGGCATTGCAAGGCGGGTTCTTCTTCCGAATAATTTACAGAAGATTGTGAACACCAGGATAGTGTCCGGTTCTGCAAAATAAATTCCACATACCACCGTAGAGAGAATAATATTACACAAGTTCAATCCGCTGACGTATTCTGTGGCGTGACGTCACACCATTACCAAGCCTTTACTCGAATTGTTTTTATTGTTCCACCTCCGCGCGTTTAGCGAGGTGGTTTCCTTGGCACGTCTTGTCGAAGCAGAGATCGTGTTCCCCTTATTCCGGGATTCCCATCAATACGGACGTGGGTAACCCAACCGCGCCCGTTGCCACGCCCCCTCCATCGAAGGCGGGTTCCAAACGGTCACGCGAACGGCTCTTGGTATTCTCCCTCTTTATAATGAGACCAAGGCCCGTTCTTTTTCTTCAATCCTCTATCGAATCCGCCCCTTGCCCCGAGTTCCAACACCCAGGGCTCCATATTTGGGTACCTTTGATCTTCGACAATGTCCGGCCCCGACCTACGAGGCCGGTGGATGCCCTCCTCCGTCACGGAAGAGGACGTGCTAAAGCTAAGAGACGCCAGGTACTTAACCTACGAGATTTCGCATAGGCTGCCTGCCCGAGGGCAAGTTATTCCCACTCCCGAGCTTGGTGAGAGCGTCGTGTTCGTGTCTCACCTCCGTCGGGGTTTAGGCTTCCCGACGGATCCCTTCGTGAGGGGGCTCATGTTTTACTATGGGCTGGAATTCCATGACTTGGCTCCGGAGTCTATCCTCCACATCTCACCATTCATTGTTGTCTGCGAAGCCTTCCTCCGCACTACCCCTCACTTCGGCTTGTGGCTCAAAACCTTCGACATGGAGCCGAAGATGATTGAGGGGCGTCAGGCAGAGTGCGGCGGGGCGGTTATAAGCAAGAGGGCCGATGCTACATGGCCCGAGGGCTCTTTTCAGGAGGAGCTCGGCTTGTGGCAACATGAGTGGTTCTATATCACCGCTCCCAGGGGTAGCAGGCAGAGGCTGCCGCCCGTCTTCCGCTCGGGCCCTCCACAGCGGCTGACTTCATGGGTCAACAAGGGGCGTGACTGGGGGCCGTCCCAAGGATGTTCCCCTGTTGCAGGACCAGATTCAAGGCCTCCAAGAAAGGGAGATCAATCTGGCCGTAGTGGTACAGGTTATGTTGATCCGGCGCCTACTGCCCTGCAAACGTCGCCCCCTCCGCTTGTGGGAATTTAATCTGGAGGGGCCACGAGCTCTTCAACACTTCATGGGTTTGACACCCGCGGAGATGTACGAACTATTCTTCGGATCGCAAGAGATGCGTCCGGAATTGACCGAGGATGCTGGCCTAAGCTGCAATCGCCCGGATACTCAAGTAAGTAGCCCTGTGTCCGGACACATCGTCCATTCATTTACTGTGGCTTTGCCTTTTAACCAGCTATCCTTTGGACAGGAGTGGATAGCGCAAGAAAAACTGATACGGTGTCCGGCCCCCCTCCCTAAGACCACGCAGGATCCCGCGCTAATCAAAATGTTAGAGGTTGCACCTTCAGAGGAGGGCGAAGAAGGGCACAGGGAACATACCACCTCCGCCATGGAGGCTTTCAGTAAGGGAGGAATCGAGAGTCCCTCCTTCCAGGGGGAGAAGAGGACCGCTTCCGAAGACCCGGAGGCCAAGACCTCAAAGCGGGGAAAGAAATCTGCACCGGAAGGTCCCAGGCCGGGAAGAGCCCCGGCCGAACTGTCTCCTCGGAGGAATCATCCCTCTAGCGAGCCGTAAGTAAAAGGGGGAATTTTGTAATAGTGGACATCCATGTTTAATTTCTAAGTGTAACCGAAGTTTTCACCTTGTAGTTCGGACCTCAGCCCATCTCAGCACAGCTCATCTTCGGGAGACCTTCATCCGGAGATGATGGAGAGCGAAACGCCTCCATCTGCCGCCCCATCGCGCGGGGCGGACGACCCTGAGGTGTCATCGCGGAGGGTCTCCCCGAGTCCGGCAGGACCAGAGAGTTCGGCGCCCATTGGAGTACGGCCGGTGGAGCTGCAGGATTTTCTTAAGAGGGCGTCCATCTCAGAAGATCACCGCACATTAATGGGTATGGTGATTGAAAGGGTCTCGTCCGCCGAAAGCGGGTTGTGTGAGGCCGTCGGAAGTTTGCTGACGGGATTTGAGGTACGCAAAAAATGACATACCCTTTGACAGTTTTGCACATGAAGTGCGCCCTGTATAGATAGTAGCCCCTGAGACATGGTATGCTGTCGAAAGCGGCAGCGTGCCGAGGATCATAATCTCAGTTATAGATTGTCGCCTTTCCTATGCAGGTGGCGGAACGTTCGGTGGCCAGCCGGACTGAAGGATTTGCCGAGCTGAAGAGGCAACTCGACGTTGCGGATGCGGACATCTCGCTGGTCGATAAACGACTCGATGAGTCACAAGGTATGTGGTTGCTCTGCGGTCGCCTAGTAAGGGAGCTGACGCCCGTTCCTTACGATTTGTATGCCTGATGCAGATAGTGCTGCAGCTGTGGAAGGCCTTCGAGCAGAACTTGCTCGGTCCAAGGAGCAAGCCAGAAAAAGCGAGGCGGCTGCTTCGAAGGCAGCGGAAGAGCTAAAAGCCGAGAAGGCTGCTCACTGCCGAAGCAGGGAGGAGATGGCCGGAATGGCCACA